ATACAAAATGGGGAAAATGAGACGCGGCTCGGCTTAAAATAAGAAATCGCCGAAAATAAGATAAGGTAAGCGGCTATATTTGAAACATACTATTGATCTTACTTGGTATTTAAGTCCTTTACAGACTATATGTATTATGCTAGACCAATGTACCAAACAAGGCTTAGGACTTGTGAGGTTCTAAGCTGGGGTTTTACAAATTAACATCAATGAGGGTCTAATTCGGCAGCTACCATGGTCCCTTATGTACCTTTCTGCCTCATCAATGATTTTCAGTGCTGCACTCTGTCTTTTGCAATGATATAGCGGACTAAGCCTCCACCTTCTCTATCACATTCTGCACTCTATCAGCCTTTACAAGGCATGCTGACAACTTTAGAATCACTCTGTGCAAGTGGTTCTATGATGTATGGTTGCTTGCACGCAAGTGTTGAACTTGGAGTGATCCCGCAACTGAGGAGTAATTACATGGTTATTAATGAAAGTAATTACACCAGTAACTATGTAGTGCTAGTAACTATGTAGTGCTAGTAACTATGTAGTGCTAGTAACTATGTAGTGCCGGGGTTGACCCAGTACCCGCACATGTGCAGGTGCCAGGTTTGAGGGTCAATCCAACCCGACTATAAGTCACGGCGTCCAACCTGCTTAACCCAGAGCTACATTACACACACATACATACACAGCAACACGGGAGCAAATCAACTATACCTCAACAGATTAAGAGTCATGATAGCACTTGTTGCGCCATCAGCCAACTTACCGCCAACCCCCACCGTGACTTGACACATCTTCTCGACCACAGTTGCCAACACAGCAAACGTCGGCGCCACAGCAATGATGCACCACTTCAAAAAGTTTGCTGAAATCCTCAACGACCTCGAGCAGCTGGGAGCCCCCATGCCTGAACAAGAGAAGATTCAAGTATTCTTCATATCGCTGGGGAACACCTACCCCCACATTAGAGGCTCGTTTATTTCGAGGCCAGTTTCTGAAAAGCCTGGATCAGTCTCACACACCACTTCCACGCTGAAACCAGCATACTGCTCAGATGCGACCAGCAGAAAGCCAGAGCTGAACAGCTCAATCTGGTAATGTCGGGGGGCGAGAGCAGGAGAGGTTTAGGATTGTAGGAGCTGGGCGTGCAGTTCCTCACTGTGTCGATGGTGTATTTGTCTCGAGAAGCAAGCAAGACCCCTTGTGCATGTAATACTGGACAGAGTCCGTCATTATATGAACGAAGAGCAAGCCAAAGAGAGAGAAAGGACAAGGGACAAGGGAATATCGGACAAGTGGGAAGAGAGATGGATAAAGACCCAAAGATTCCACGTGCCCGAGGTCCCTTTCCCTGTGCAAGAGCAGTCACGAAACAAAACACACAAGTCAAAACACAGTAAGGCCGAAAGTGGCAGGAAACTGGGATCAGAAACATGAACGAAAGCAGATGGGAAAGCAGAGATAGTGAGAGTGGCGGAAACTGGGAAAGCGGAACCAAATAACGGAAGCAGACAGTTGCGTCGGCGATAGCCAAGACGCAAGCAGAATTGGTTCCAAAACACGGCTGAAAAATGGTTAAGTCGCGAGAGGCGGAGATCGCCGAAACGCGGCTGAAAATGGCTAAGTCGTGAGCAGTAGCCCACTGCTTACAGGCTGCAACTCTCTGTCTTGACTGTTGGACTGCATACAAGTAAGCATTAGTGGAGGGCAGCCTGTTGCGTTTGAGTGCCTTGACCCAGCAAATGAGAAGCGCTCCTGCTATGCAAGGAGGCGGCCTGATAAAGCTGTGGGATGAAGGGCAGAAAGAACTCAAACAAATGAAAAGCGCCTCCGCTTGTGTTTACGTAATGTGTAATGCCGCATCATTTCAGAGTTTTGCGGAGCTCGCCGCACGCTCAGACAGGGACTTGGTGGAATGTTGATGTGGCTTCTCTTTCTTTGCCCGTCGTCGTTCCCCTTTCCCTTGCCCTTTGCTGTCAATCCTAGGTGTCTGTGTGTGTGTGTGTGTGAGTTCCCTTCCTTATTGTATACAAGATTGCATAGCTAAATCCTGGGCAGTAGTTATCATTAGGACTGACTCTTGCCCAGGTACGTATATACCCATCGTCATTCCCCTTTCCCTTGCCCAGGTACATATATACCCGCCATCATTCCCCTTCCCCTTGCCCTTTGCTGTCAAGCCTAGGTGTCTGTGTGTGTGTTAGTTATCGTTAGGACTGACTCTTGCCCAGAGTCACCACCCTTTTCTGTCTGTGTGACGAGTACATGCTTTGGGGTCCTGTTCGCTGCACAGGATTACACCGCCCCAACCCACCTTCGCCGTTCTTCTCCGTCTTTCGCCGTTCGCTGCCGTTCTTCTGTTCAGCCCACTCAGCTGTGACTTCCGCCGTTCCCCTCGCCGTTCGAGTCACTAGTGAAGACGATACACACCTCTTACACTTTTTTTTCGACTTCACACCCCAATCGCAATGCCCCCCAAAGAAATCAAGCCCGAAGAACCTGCGCCTGGCGCATCCAAGCCTTTCAAGGCTCTCTCTGTCTTTTTCGATGAAGACGGCAAACCTCTAAACTCTGACGAAGCTTCTGGTCGCCCTATCCTTCGCATTGCCAAGGAGGGCACAATCATCCTCGGTCCCAATCCTCCTGCCATCGATTTCACTACTCATATTCGTGTAGACGACGGCAAACGAACCTCCTACCAAGTCCCTCCCCACATGCTGTCCGGCCATACCCCTACGGCGCCAGCGTCAGATGGTCAGACCTCTAGTCAGAGTGTTGGGTTTGACGACCCCCGAGTCATCTTGGAGACAATCCATCGCCACCAGGCCGAGCTCCAGTGTGCCCAGGTTGATCCTCCCAAGCTCCCTATGTTGTCATCCCTTTGCACGTCCAACCTTGGCGTCGTCCGCCACCTACATGACCTCCAGAAATACTTCATCAAATACGACTCTCGTTTCCCCGACAGCACCCCGTCTGGTCCCCAGTGGTGGGTTGGTCAAGCAAACAGGGCCATCGCCAAGGTCGACGCCTACCATTATTGGTCCCTGGTGACTGGCACCACATGTGTTTCTTGGGAGGGTTGGTGTGACGAGTTCAAGAAGAAGGCCCTTTCGCCCAACTGGGAGTCTGAAACCCGCCGAGTGTTTGAAGGGCTGCAGTGCCAAGGCTTCACTTTAGCGGCGTGGACGGCGTTCGAAGAAAAGGCTGGCGAATGCCAGATGGTCCTCAGCGATTGCATTGGGCCATCACCGAATCCGACATGTGTCGAAAACTCTTGTTTGGCCTCCCCTCGCATATCCTTACCCATGTTGAGGATCGCCTTGAAGACCGAGGCCTTGGTCGTTCTGCTATCTCACTCCCTCTTCTGCGTTCTATTATTGATCGCATGTTCTGCTGTAAGAGGCTTGCCTCGTACCCTTCCTGATATACGACCCGTCGACCCTCTTGGTTGCGACTC